TGGCAGCTAGGTGGTGTAGTGAATAGAGTACTGGGCCTGGAGTCAGGAAGATTCATCTCCCTGAGTTCAAATCCAGCCTCAGTTTCATCTGAAAATGAGCTGGAGAAGAAAATGGCAAACCACTCCAGAATCCTTGCCAAGGAAACCCCAAATGGGGTCGTACAGTTATACACGACAGAACAACAACACTTTCTTTTATAAATACTCACAAATCATCTGTTTATTCTAGGATCTTACCAGCTATTCATGTAAAACCTTCAGGTTTATAGTTTCTGCCATTTGGAATTCTATGCACTTCCTGCTCTATACTTTTTTCTACTTTTTGAAAAGTAGAACAAATTTTGCCTATCTCTGATCTCCTGTCACCTCTCCCACTGTATATGATTTCTCATGATGATTATCAACAAGTACACCATGATTGCATCTACATTCTTTCAGCACATTTTTTGTGATTTGTCTGGGCTTGGAGACTTGAATTCATTTTAAAAGGCTAGGTGCTCTATTATTCTCATTTGACCTGTCTTAGGTTTCAATTTTCTCAATGACATGTATTCTATACTTTTCAGAATGCAGGTTATTCTTTTTTTTTATAGAAAAACATGGAAGTAAAATGGAAATTGTGTAGCTTTTTCTTCTTTAGTCCTCAGTAACATTATACTATTTCCCCAAGAATTGGGTCTGTTCTTTCCTTGTTCAACTTGTTTTGAACACAGTAATGATAACAAAAAATCCCAACCAAAATTCTTTATTTTCCTTAGAATTTTAAAGAATATCAGACCATTCTGAACTTTGACTTTCTTGATATTAGTCTTATAGATTCAGGGTATTCATACATAATTATGTGACCTTTTCATCTTCACAGCATGACCTTTGTAAATCTGAGATTATCAGAGACTGCTATGCATCCACATTGGTTTCATATGCCTCCTTTATTACTGCACTGTCAGAACCTAAATTTTTTTGACTCCCTCTTTTGGTATCCTCATGACTTTAGGAAAATTAGAAAAGTGTTGCTGTCAGTGCATTAGGTATATTCTCTGTGGCAAATTTATGGAAGAGCACGAATAAGAGTCACACAGAATGAGAAGGCACGAATGGGTTGAAATCTATATTATTGGACCCATTGCCTACATTGATGAAATACCAATTCTACTGGAGAATTAGAGAAACTCCAATTATCTTTTAGTTATGGGATTATACACTTTTTTTCCATGAAACTACTGTGATTTGCTAAATGTTTGAGAATGCACATCTGACTATGCTCAATGTTATTTTCTAACAAGGTCAACTTTTCCCCAAGATTCTCATCATTTCCATATCAAGAAACAGTCTAAATCCCAGTCCTGATGCTTAACTACTTCACTGACCTTGAATAGTATTCTCCCTCTCTGGACCTCAATTTCTTCATCTATAAAATGAGGAGCTTAGACAAAATGATCTTTCAGGTCATTTCTAGTTCTAAATCCTTTCCAGTTCTAAATCCTGTGAGTTTATGACTTTTCTTGGTCAGAATGAAGCCCAGAATAGGTATTCTCATTTCTTCCTCTGTCATCTGAGCACTGAAATTCCAACTGGGTCATTGAGACATTATCATATGTTTTATTTTTAGCATAATTGGACATTTAGCAGTCATTTGAAAGTTTGAACTTTCCCCATAATTCCTATATCTTGCCCCTGTGCTGGTTTTGGTAAAGATCATAGAATTAGAATTTGGAAAGCATCATGCATGTGTTTTCCATGATCTGTGTAGATGGTGTGTTGTATGTTCTCAGAATATCACTTCTATTCCTTTCTCTCATTTTATACTCACCCAAGGATGGGCTCAATACTGTGTCTTCCCTCAGGTTTATGGATTCTTATAGCTCTATATAGCTCCTTAATATACAAGATTATTCCTGCCCCTTTTCACCTCATTAAAGACTAAAGGTATATCCTTTCAACACAGTTATGAATCTGATCCACACAGTTATGAATCTGATCCCACACAGTGATCAGATCTGATTGGATCATGATACCTATGAGAGTCTATTTATCTCTTTGTTTTGAATTTGCAAGTTTGATTTATTTATTAAACTGTATACATGTAATTATCCAAGGTAATTATCCAAAGTTATGCAGATTTCCTCTGACCTTCTTTCTTGTTATTTTTCTCCAGAAAATTTCTAGGTACTTACCTCTGTCATGTTATTTAATTCTATGTAACATTTATCTTCCATTGTATTTCGTTTTACAACTTTATCTGAGTGGCTTCTTTTTTCCTTTACCCTCAAATTTGAGTCATCTTAATTTTGGTAAGTTTCCTGCCAGACTCAGAATTAAAGAGTTGAGAAAGACTTCAGAGTTCTAACATGTATGTACAAATAAATCCCTCTCCAATATCCCTGACAGGTAGTCATCCGGCCTTTGCTTGGAGACTTCCAATGAGGAGGAACTCACTAGCTCCTGAGACAGTCCACTCCATTTATAGATAGCTCTGATAAGTAGAAAGTTATTCCTTATATATAGGCTAAAAGTCCTTTCCAATCATTATGAGATACACTGGTCCCTTATCAGAAGCCCCAAATTCTGCTTGCACCAAAAGCCATGCCATTTTGTACTACTCAATGTCAGTTATTCATCCTATGATCATCCTTTCTATTCTAGTATTACAACCTTTAACTGGAAAAAAAGATGAAAATAGTATCCCTATCCCCAAATCCTTTAGTTTCTTAGCTATGGCTTTAGAATAATCACTAGACATATATTTCAGATGTAGGTTGGTTAGTTGTACTGACTGTGCTCACAGGTTCCCTCATGAAAAATTCCCTGACCAATGTATCTCTCTGTGATATCAGTAAGCACTAGTTGGTACTCTGGGAATGATTTTGTGTTTGGGTGCCATGGAAACTACCCACACAGTTTTTCTCTGAAAATGACAGCTGTGTGTGCCTTATGATTCAAACACCACCCAAGCTAGAAAATGCGTAACCATGAATTGGCACTCCTTTGTCAGTTAAATGTCACCTGTTGAACACCTACTGTGTTGTTCATGCCAGGCATTTGGTTCCTCTTTTCTCATAGAGAATCTGGAATACTTTGTCTTAGTATTGGGAATTCTATGTTAGAATTTTAACGTTAGACTTTAGGATATGTCACTTCAGCACTTCAGGAATGAAAGGAAATGAACACACTCTTCTTTTATATTCCAAGAAATATTAAATTCCCAGAAAGATGTGATGGGGATAGGTCCTAGAGCTCTGGCTATGATAAAACCTTTTGATTTTCATCTTGGACTCTTTATAATGATTCAGCAATGCCATGAATATGGAGGCAACACTTGAGTGCTTAAGTTGGAGTGAAGGTGAGTTCAAATGCCACCTTTGACTAAACCTCTTTGAATCTCTTCCTTATTTCTAAAATGGAGATAATGGGGTAGGGAGGAAGAGAAGAATACAGAGCATTGAAATCTCTTACTGAGCCTAGGAAGTGTTAATTCACTCTCTTAGTCTTCTTTTCTTCATAATGAGAAAGTCTAATTAACATAGAAAACCATTTTAGAGAGTCTGTTTGTCCTGTTGCAATAGTTTCTTATTGCTATTTTCTCTGTTATTCACCTGGAGGGGCAGGAAATTGAAGAAGCTCAGGGATGGAACCGAGTACAACCACCTGCACTCAGTGTCTTCCTTGGAATTACTAAAACCACTGGGGTACTCATAAACACATTACATTTTGAAAGTGATTCATCGTTCATTGTGTTGAAAGGGGAAATTGATAACTGACTTTGGAGGTTTGCCTTTCCATAGAATTTTAGAGTGGAAAGGGCTTGAAGATAGCATCTACTCTATACTCTAATTTACAGGTGGGGAAACTGAAGGCCAGAAAGAATGAAATCTTTGCTCATGTTTGTGAGCTAAGTAGTGGCAAGAGCCAGGATTAGAATTCATATCTCCTGATTTCTGTCTCAGTGGTCTTTCTACTACACCACAGTAACCTACCTTCTCTCTCTCATTTTAATTTTTTTATTACTTCTATCTCAACGCCACATAATAATGTATTCCATTGACTATATTCATGGTGTCTTTCCATGAGAATCTGACATATTGGTGAAATGATATTTCTGGTAAGACCACTTTGATAGATCAAATATTTGAGAAAATTTAATGAGACTATACCATGCACTGAATTTCTTTTTCCATTAAAGCATGTCTGACCTAGTTTAGAACCATTCTCAAACATGGGGACTTAAACAATTTGACCTGAGTCCAATTTTTTTTTTGCTTTCCCATTTATTTATCCTGGGTTACAAAGTGATTTCTGCTTTCCTTCTTTTTTTTTTAATGAAAAAAAGAAAAAAAATGTTGATTTTAGAAAAAAGCTATAAAAATATTTCGAGCATCAAGCAGCACTTTAAGGAATTAAAGCCAATCAAATCCATGGATCCAGTTTCTTTTAAAATACACTTGGATCTCCAAATAAAAGGTAAATTATTTCTTATAATAGTGAACTCTTTTGGTTGAAAAGGCACTCAGGATCTTCAACTACCCAGGGTTTTCTTTACTTCATACAGGACCACAGATTAATAATCCCTACTAGGTTACCAATTATAAGATGGATGACTTGAACATCTGTGTTATTATACCATGAAAGTATGGCCTGAAGTTCTCTCTTCCTTCTTTTTATAAGAGTTTCACTTCTCTAATAGGAAAGACGGCTGCCTGAATGAATAATGGCAACTATATTGTTCCAATTCAACTCAACAAACATTTATTAAATGCCTACTAGGTATACGGTACCACAGTAGGTATTGGTGACAATTTTTTTTTAAATGATGCAGTTCCTAGCCTTAAGCAGCTTACATTCTATTGCATTAGGTCAGAGAAGAAAGGCAATACTGCATGTATGCAGTTAAGTAAAATTTGAGGTTTAAGATGCAAAAACCTTCCTTATACTTTCCTTGCTTTTTATGTAGTTGTTGATAATCAAAGAGGAGGAAATTAGAAGGAGGAAATAATTATACTTACCAAGAAACTTTTTCATCATATATAAACTGTGGAGAAAAGAAAAGATATCTTAGTTATATGAAGAAACATAATTGAATTTATGAATTGTTTACTATGTAATTTCCATAAAGCAGTAATCAGAGCTGCATTGTCCCAGGAGCAATGGACCTGTGGGCACCCAGCTGTACTCACCAAACCTATATGGATGGTCCTGAGGGTAAGCTTGGCAAGGAGATGGAAATTCAGCTATCTGTTGCTTTGGTACATCCTGGTAAGTCAGCCACTCAATTATTGTTTATTAAAAGCCTACTATGTGCCAGGCATTGTGTTAAATTCTGGGGATACAAAGAAAGGAAAAAAACAGTCCCTGCTTGCATGAAGCTTACAATCTACCAGGGGAGACTATATGTAAATAACTATGTACAAATAAGTTACATACAGACCAAATGGGAAATGATCAATAGAGGGAATGAACTAGAATTTAGAGGGATTGGGAAAGGCTTCCCACAGAAAGTGGGATTTTAGTTGAGACTTAAAGGAAGCCAGGGAAGTCAGTAGTAGCAGTGGAGGAGGGAGAGCATTCCAGGCATGAAAGACAGCCAGAGAAAATTCTTGAAGCTGAGAAATGGAATGTCTTGTCCAGGAGGCCAGTGTCACTGGATAGAAGAGTATGAAACAGGATTTTGAAGGTGATAGGAAACTGCTGTAGTTTATTTTGAGTAGGGGCGTGCTATGGTCAGACCTGTGCTTTAGGAAAATCACTTTGGTGGTTGAATGGAGGATGGACTAGAATGGGGAGAGATTCATGCAGGCAGATCAACCAGCAGGTTATTGCAATAGTCCAGGTGCAAGGTCATGAGGCCCACACCAGGTCGGTGCCATTATAAAAGGAACGAATGGGCCATATTTGATAGATTTTGCAAAGGCAAAGTTGACAAGCCTTAGCAACAGATTGGATTTTGGGGGTAAGAGATAGTGAGGAATTCAGGATGATGTCTAGGTTGCAAGTCTGGGAGACTAGTGGTACCTTTGACAGTAATAGGGAAGTCTGGAAGTGGGGAGGGCTTAGGGGGAAAGATAATGTGCTCACTTTTGGACATGGTGAGTTTATCATGTCTACTGGTCATCCAGTTCAAGATATCTGAAATGCAGTTTGAGATACAAATCTAGAGGTCAACAGATAGGTTAGAGATAGATAAATAGATTTGAAAATAATTAGCATAGAAATGATACTTAAATCCATGGGAGCTGATGACATCACCAAGTGAAAAAGTGTAGAGAGAAAAGACACAGGACAGAGTCCTGTAAGACACCTATGGTACTAGACATGAGCTGCATCTAGCAAAGGAGAGTGAGAAGGAGTGGTGTGTTAGGGGAGATGATAAACAGGAGAGAGCGAGGTCCTGGAAACTTAGAGAGAAGAGATGATTAAGGAGAAGAGGATGATCAACAGTGTCAAAGGCTTCAGAGAGGTCATGAAGGATGAAGATTGAGAAAAAGCCATCGGAGTTGGCATTAGTAACTTTGGAGAGAGCAGTTTTGGTTGAATGATGAGGTTGGAAGCCAGACTGTAGAGATCTAATTAGAGAACGAGAGGAGAGGAAGTGGAGACACGTATTGTAGACAGCTTACTCAAGGAGTTTAGTCACAAAGGACAAAAGTAATATGGTTAGACAGTAGAGATGGAAAGATAAAATAAGGGTTTTTTGAGAATGGGGGAGACATAAGCATATTTGTAACAGCGTAGCAGGAGAGACTGAAGGTAAGCGAGAGAATGGGGATAACGGAGGGGACAATCTGCTGGAGGAAATGGAGTGGAGTAGAATTGCTTTGCCTTGGCAAGGAGTGCGGCTAGCTCTTTGAGCAAGACAGGGGTAGAGGATGAAAGGGTGGCAAAAGGCATCTGAATGATATGAGATGAGGCAGAGGGGAGAAGAGGGAGCTCCTGCTTAATGGTCTCAAAATTTTCAGTAAAATATGAGGCAAGGTTCTCAGCTGAGAGAGTGAGGGGGATCCATGAGATATTTATAGAAGTAGCATGAACTGGTAGGGGTATCAGTTCATGCGAGCAGGCAATGTGAAAGGGAACATTAAAAGGATGAAGAGTAGCATTGTAAAAAAAAAAAAAAAGCCTGGGCATTGTCAACTCAGCAAAGTCAAATATGTCAAATATGTATGTATGTATAGATGTGCATTTATATACACATATACATATATACACACATACATACATGTATAAGCATGTATGTATGTGTGTATATATATCTATATATCTATATACACTTCTTCCCTCAATCCTAGCAGAAATCTGAGTGCACAGTTCACAGCCTCTGTCTTTCATACTCACCTTTACCAATAACCAAAAAATGAATGTTTTCAGTCTGAGCTCCATAGTCCCTATTTTTTTATCTCAGCAGAGGGTGCCCTATGGAGAGCTTATTATCAATGGTGCCTATAGAAGAAGCAAGGGGACAAGATAGCCTTTTGGGACCCTTTAGTGGTTTAGAAGAATGTGTGATTTCACCAGAGGGAGACAAATGCCCATGTATCCTCCATTGCTCAACAACTTAGGATGCCCGTCTCAGTTAATTAAAGTTGTGATACTCAATCGCATAGAGAATCAGTCAGGGAAATGAAAACACAAAAAAATGGACATGTAACTTAAAAGGGAGCTAGACAGACCCAGCAGTTCTTCCATCATTGAAAAAACAGATGAAAATCTAGGGAGAAAAACACCTTAGGAAAAAAATCCCATATTCCCCTGTATCACTTCTCTCATAAAGAGGAAAGAATGAAAACTGATGGCTCTGAGCAAGTATTGGCTTTACGGTTTTTATTTCACCTCTGTGTTCACAAAAAGATTCAGTTGTACGATGATGGAGAGAAGGATTTCTAGGATGAAAGTGGGGAAGGTCCAAATGGAATGAGGAGGCATATTAAAAAAAATTCTGGATGTTGTCAAGTCAGCAAGGCCTGCTGACATGTCATTTAATTTCCATAGGTCATCCTTAGTTGTTAATGTATAATCTGTAACTATTGAGTTTGGAGAACTTAAAGGAGACTAAGGGAAAATGACTGTAATAATTCTAGTGGGAGGGACATGCTATAATGGACAGAGCTAGCCTTAGAGTCAGAAAGACCCAGGTTTGAATCTAGCCTCTAACTGTCTGTATCACTCTGGGCAAGTCACTTAACCTTTTCAGTGCTTCAGGAAACTATCTAAGATTAACCATGATATTGCAGAACAGTTGCTCATCTGCAGTGGCGAAGTGAGTTTCTTCAATGGGAGGTCCCTTCATGCATGAAATCATTAAATCCAGACAAAATATAATTCAACGTCAATACTTGAGACTGTAATAGAAGAGATAAGCAAATCATCATTTTATGGCCATACACACACACATATACATATATAAATACATATATGCACACATACATGCATATAACATACATACATACACACATACATACACACATTTGCATATAAAATAGAGAGCCAGGTTTGACGTCTGGGTTCAAGGCCTACCTCTGACACATAGTGGCTTGTGACCTTGGCGAAGTCATGTAAGTTCTTAGGACTTTATTGTTGTTGTTTAGTCATTTTCAGTCATGTTCAATTCTTCATGACTCTTTGGGGCTTTTTTGGCAAAGATAGTGGAATAGTTTGCCATTTCCTTCTCCAGTTCATTTTACAGATGATGAAACTGAGGCAAACAGAGTTAAGTGACTTTTCCAGGATCACATGGCTAATAAATGTCTGAGGCCAGATTTGAACTTAGATCTTCTTGACTCCAGATCTGGCACTCTATCCACCGCACCATCTAGTTGCCCTTTAGGCCTTTAAGCAACTCCTTAAGACTTTTAAGTTGCAGAGAAGACACCAACTTGCTTTGATAGAGGGAGTTTCCTCCCTGGAGTTCTCTGAACAAATCACAGGTCCATTCCCTATCCCTCTCTCCAGACATACCCAAAGCCTTGGATAACAACTCATTATGGTTTTGTAAAAATCAAAATCTGTTTGACCAACTTAATTTCTTTCTAGTCAAAGGACCTAAGTCATAGGTGATATGAAGGAGTCTGAATAGGTGAAGGCAAGTCAAAGACTATAGGACAACTTTGGCTTCCATTTTAGACAACATTTTCACTACGAAGCAGGAAAAATTGGGTCTATGCTATGAATCTCCCACTGATAGGTACTATCAGGCTGCTTTGAGTCCTCCAAGACAGATAACATAGCTCCTTGTGCCCTTATTCAGATGAATGAATCAGATCAGTAGGCCTTTGGGAAGAGAAATAGTAAGAACAACCAGCATTTATTATTTCTTTAGTTTTTGCTATTATTAAATAAAGCTATTAAAAGAGATGAAGTCAATAAGCTTCAAAAACACTTGAAATTAAAATTAGAGAGCACTGATCTATACCACACAAGACTATTGTTAGATGAGTATACTGGGGCATAGAGGGTAACACCCAGTGTCTCAGGATCAACAATGCTATATTCTCCTGGGGCTAGTCATGGCCCCAAAGCTAGGATCACAGATATAGAGCCAGAAGGGAACTGAGAGGCCACCAAGTACAAACTCTTCATTTTACAGATGAGAAAACTGAGGACCATAGAGGTTAAATGACTTGTCCATGGCCACACAAGGAGTAAGCATCATAAACACGATTTGGACTCAGGTCCTCTGAATCCAGAATCAGTGTTCTTTGCACAGAACCACACTATTGTTTACTACACTACTATTTAACAGAAAATGACCACATTGATGAAATCAAAAGAAGTCTTAATAAGTTCTTAGATGACACTAAGTTAATACCTTGGATTCTTGAACCATGAACACCTGGGTTCAAGTGTTACCTGACACATTCTAGCATTGGTATCAAGGTCCAATCACTTAACATCTAAGTGTTGCCATGAAACTATCAGATTGTAAATTACGGGTGAGCTACTGCTCAGATCAGTGGAGAGAGATTTCATACCAAGAGTTTCTCCTCAACGAAATCACATTTCTGGACTAATAATACTAGTTCTTATTATGAAAGCAGG